GCAAGAGCGCGGGGCGCAGCCGGGGGACTCCCAAGGCCCCAAATCCCGGATTCGGCGGGCCCTGCCGCCTGGGCAAGGCGGGGAGTGCGCCTTCTAAGGAGGAGCTTTCTGAAGCTCTCGCAAGAGGGCGCTGGGGAGCAGAGGTGGGAAAGAGGATTCCTTACTGAGAGGAGGCGCCCCCCCCTTTCCGGCAAGGAGTGGACGGTGGTCCCTCAGGCCCAGCACCAAGAGCAGAAGCGGGTCCCATCGAGGTGACTTAGGCCGCGTCTGTTTGTAGAGGGGGGGGGTCTCTCTCAGGGGTGGGAGGAGAGGCTGCAGAGTCAAGCGGTTTCGAATTCCTCTCCCGTCGATGTGGGTCGCGCTGCCGCTCCCAAACGCACTCAGCCCCAGGGAGATGTGGGGATTTCCCTCGCCCAGGCACACTTCATCAACCCTGACCCGAGAAAACCCGGGAGCAGCTTCTCCTGATCTTCCGTCGCAGGCGCACGCCGGCCCGTTGCCCGCGCTCTCCTCCCCCCCCCCAATCCACTCCCTTGCCAGCAATGACGCGCCAGTTTTGAACGCCCAGGTTGGCTTCCCCAGAAACTCCAGGTAAAGGCTGGCAAGGGAAAGAGGCGCCTCCCTCTCCGCTTCCCCTGCCTGCCGCCGCCTTAGAAACCCACTGCATTGCAGGCTTGGTCAGCTTTCACAGTCGGTTGCCCCCTAAGTGCCGGGGGGGGGGACCACAGGGCTGCCTGGCCCTCAACCGCGCTGATGGGTCCATGGGGTCCCTGCCAGATTCGGATCTCCCAGTTTGCCTCTCTGCCTCTCCTTCTCTGGCCATTTGTGGCTTGGGCAGCTTTCCTCTCCTGAGCACAAAGTGTTCTGCTGAGGGCAGGTTGACCCCACCCCCCGCCAAGGATCCACCGCCGTGGACCGAAGCTGCTGTTTGTTCCGGCCACATGAACAGAACAGAAAGGAGAAGAGACCAGGCGTCTCCTTTTAATGAGTTACCAGCTTCCGTGGGCTCATGACCTGTGCCGGGTTTAATGTCAAGAGAGGTAAACAAAAAGCCCAAAGCCAACCAAACCTGGCACGCTAAAGTGGGAGGCAGCGTGCCTGTTCACCACTGAAAACCCGCACTGCCTGCCATTCTGTTTAACTCTCTCTCTCTCTCTCTCTCTGATACTCTCTCTCTCTCTCTGTTTGTGTGTGTGTGTCTGTGTCTGTGTCTGTGTGTGTGTGTGTGAGAGAGAGGGGGGGGCACAGATAGTTAAATAGAATGGCCACCAGTGCAGGTTTTCACTGGTGAACTCAGGAGACCGATGGGACTGTTCCACCCAGGTAGCCTGACTCTGCCTTGGTTGCTTAAGTTCCACCAGCATCTCATGGTTGGGGGGAGGGGGGAGGGAGTCACCTGATCCCACCCCCAAATCTCCCTTTCCTGTCCACTGCCTCTCCCAATGGCTTCTCCCCCAAAGCCCTTCAAGCCACCTGCCCAGCCCCAGCAAAGCAATCACTCACACCAGTTCAGAAAGCACCAGGTGTTTATAAAATATAAATAGTCTTCCAGATGTAGAAAGAAGAGCAAAATCATCAAAAACGTGTCACAATCACAAACAGATGTGCAAAAATAAATACAGTGATGACTTTTCACATAAAAGGTGCCCGGAGGAAGGAGGAGGAGTTTATTCGGTTTTTCCTATAAGCCTGCCACAGGTGGCCCGTCCTCCTCCTCTCGGAAGGGAACCTGCCGGCCCAGCACCTGGAGCATCCCTCTTCCCTGGGTGGGGGGCAGCAGCGGCAGGAAGGCTGGCACCCCAGGGGGCTGTTAAGAAGCCCATGCAGGGCCAAGCCTGGGAGATGGAGCAGGAAGTGCTGGGGGTGGAGGAGAAGCTGGGGATGGGCTCCTCCACTTCCCACGACCCCCCCCAAAGGTACAGGTACCGCAAAGGAAGCTTCCAGCTGGGCTGAGTCAGAAGTGGGAACCTCCTCCCCCCCCCCCAGCAGCAGCTGAGGGTAGGGTAGGGTAGATTGCCCTCCTGGAGCAGCTCCCCTCCAATAAAACTAAGGCAAAGTGGACCCAAAGGAAAAAAGACAAAATCCCAAACTGACAAGCGGGTTGTGCCTTTATTAGGATCAACCGCAAAAGCCCCAGACATGGCAAGCTTTGGAGTTTCCTAGACTCTTCAAGGGGCTAATGGGTTAAAACCTATGACAAGGGAAGTGGGCCCTTGGGAGGGAGTTTTATGGCAGATCTTGTTGGCAGCCTAGAACAGCCACCCTAGCTTGTGGGCTTTGGAGCCCCGGTTTTGGCATGAAGCCGGTAAAGAGTTCTGAAGGGTTCACCCTTCCCAGTACAGGTTGGGTGTCGGCAGCTCCTGTGGCTTTCGGGTTTTGCTTCACTCCTTAAGCCCCTGGCCTTGGGAAAGATAGACTGGACTGCCTTTGGGAGGGGCTGCTCTGCCGTCCAGGCAGGATGCCGCCCATTTCTCACCTGGAGAGGACCAGCCAAGGGCAGGTGGAGGGAGGGAGGGAGGGAGACGCCAGCCCACTGGGTCTCCCAAGACCCTTTTCCTGGCCCCACTTCTGCCCCACTTTTCCTTGTGAGTGAGAGGCCTTTATGGATCCTGTGGAGCTACCTTAGTTTCCCTCAGAGAGCCCTGCTCTTTCACTGATGAAGGAAAAGCTTTTCGTCTCTGCTTACAGGAGACTAAGGCCCCACCGTCACCCTCCAGCCCCAGGAAGCCTGCTGGGGTTGGCTGTGGGAGCAGAGGCTTTGTTTTCTGTCGAACAGAAAATGGGGAATGGCTGAGGGCCCCTTCTGTGTGGCTGGGGTCGGTTTTGAGTGGAAGGAGGGCCGGGGTGGGAAAACCGTTGGGCACCCTTCCGCTGACTCCCCTCGGTTCATGGTCTCTGGAAGCATTTTAAGGCACGTGCCAGGAGAGCCCTGGAAGGGCGCTTCAGCCAGTCTGGGTGCACAGAAAGCTCCCTGCGGTTCTGTAAGTCGCAACATGACTGCCTCCCATTTAATCCAGGAGCAAGATTGGGGCCAGGTTGGCTCCCAGCCCAGTTCCCCTGCCCCTAAAACCTAAACTAGACCTTTCCTTTCCCCCCTCCCCATATGTAGCCCTTCCCCCCATGACGCCCCCCTACCCGAAGTCCTCCATGGGTGTGTGTGTGTGTGTGTTGCTACTGCTGCTGCTGAAGTGGGGGTCCTCTCTGGCCTGCCATTCTCCCCTGCTGCAGCCCTCGACTTCCCCGTGATCAAAAGAAAGCCATTTTCATCTGGCATTCAAGATCCATCCACCCAGGGCCCCCCCGTCTCCATGACACCGAGACTGAACTGCCCCAGGAAGT